GTCGCACACGCCTGCCTGTCAAAAGGGGTCCAGCAGACCGCGCCCAACTCTGCAAGGGCGCCAAGAAAAAGAAAAAGTAAAAAAAAGAAAAAAAAAGGGGGGCGGCGCCGCGGCGTTGCTCGGCGTGTTTACCCGACCGAAACTCTCCGATCCTTGGGGCGCGACTTCCGAACTCGCACGACTAGGTGGACTGACTGGACTCGGAATCAAGCTGGCATTCGTGACTGCATGCGGCTAAAAGTCGTAGCCGGCCACCTTGAAGGCGGTGGCATAGGCAAAGTAGTTCTGCATGAGCTTGAGAATCGGCTGGGGCGGGCTCATCGAGACCAAGGTATACGACACCTTGGCCAACCCCTCGGTGCGGATCAACTTGAAGAGCGACGTGGCGACCGCACCGGGGAAGCTGCCCTCCATGTACCAGCGGTGGTGATACGCCGTCAGACGGATGGCGGTCCACAGACTACGCTGCACATCGCGCGACTCGGTGTACATCTCGAGCAGACGCAGATACGCCTTGGCCGAGAACTTGACGTCCACACACCGCTGGAACGCCTCGCGCGCCTCGTCGCCATGCAGCAGCCGCAGCGCCAGCTCGCCCAGGATCTCCCACTCGGTGCCCGTCTTGCGGTAGGCGAGGTTCTGCGCGCGGAAGTGCGCGATCTCGGCGCGCCAGATCGTGTAGACGCGCAGATCCTCGTACAGCACCATGAACAGATTGTCGAGCCACCGCTCGCACAGCCGCTTGTCGCGGAACGAGAAGCCGGTGTTCTTCTCCTTTTGCCGCGCCTCGGCCATCGCGATCGACGCATCGTGCTCGCCGTTGACAATCGCCATGCGTCGACCGCCGTTGGCATCCGACGCTCCCGAGACGTCGCCAGGCACCGCCGTCGCCGACGACTCGCTTCGGTCGTGCCCCGCCGACGCCTGTGCTGGCTTCTCGAGCGGCGGCGGCTCCACCTGCACCGCCGCACGCGCCGCCTCGCCCTCGCCGCCGCTGCCGCTGCCGCCGGGCTGGTTGATGGTGTTCATGTAGTCTTCGAGCTCCTTTTGCTCGCGTTCGTGGTCCGACTCGGTCGAGATCTTGATGGTGGGGATGGACTGCGACGACGCATTCGCGCCCGCGTTGACGCCCAGCTGCGACTTGTTGGCCGCCGTCGCCGCCGCTACCAGCTCGGTGCTGTCCATCTCGTCGTCGCTCGCCTCGCGCGAGTCTTGTGCGTCCACATCCGCCTTGGCGCCTTCGTGTGTTGTATTCGTTGCGGGCTGCGGCGGCGTGGACGAGGCGAGTGCAGGCGAGTCGGTGGGCGCCACGCCTCGCACCGATGCGTCGTCGTCGTGTGCCGAATCGTCGGGGTGCGTGCCGGCGGCGGCCTTTTGCGCGCGGTACTCCTCCTCCATGACAAACACGTTGGAGCGGAAGCGGAGCAGCTCGTCCCAGCCGATGGCGCTCACGAGGCGGCCGAGCAGCGCATACGCCTTGGCAAAGGTGCCGCGCAGCGCGGGTGCGGGTAGCCGGAGCAGCGCCACGTCCGCCTCGTTGTCGCGCGCGCTCTCCTCGTCGACGAGGCCGGATTCGGTGATGAAGCTCTTGACGGGCAGGTGGCTGCGCGCTGGGGTGGGCATGCGGTGGAGATCGCGCTCGTTGTAGGTGAACATGGGGCAGGAGTTGAGCGTGTAGAGCGCCGATTCCCACTGCTCGAGGTCGATGTAGCACTCGGTCAACTTGGCCCAGGTGACGAATTCGGAGGGCGCGCAGTTGACCGCCTGCTTGGCCACCTTGGCCGCCCACTCGAACTTGCCCTTGGCGCGCAGGAAGTCGACCTGTGCGTGGAGGAGCGCGTAGGATTGGGGCGTTTCGCGGATGGCGCTGTGCATCACCTGGACCGCCTTGATCTCCTGGTTCATGCCGATGTACGAGCGTGCGACGAGGGCGGCGACTTCGGGTTCGCGCGCCCACAGCTTTTCGAACAGGTTGACCGCCTGCTCGTACCGCGATGCGTCGCCAAAGTACTTGAGGATGGCGGCGGTGAGGTGGTTGGAGACCACCGTGGCCACCTGAATCTCGGGGTCGGAGCCGAGCTGCCATCCTTTGAAGAAGAGGTTTTCGGCGGCCTGGAGGAAGCGATGCTCTGCATCTGGGCTCGAGATGGGATCGAGCTTGCGGTATCCTGCGAGGCGGTAGTTGGCGTCGTCGGCGTAGAGGATGGCGCGGAGGAGCGCCGAGAGGTAGACCTCCTGCCAGATTTCGGGGGTGGTCTCGTGGCGCTCTCCGCGAAGGTCGACGACGTAGGCGTCTACGCTGCCGGGGATGCGCACCTCTACGCGCACGTCTACACGCGAAAAGGCGTTGAAGCAGCAGTAGGCGCCGCTCTTGAGCTTGTAGGCGGCCTTGCTGGAGAAGAAGCCGGGGTTCTGGTCGAGCTCGTAGGTGAGCGAGTTGATGTAGGCGGCGAGTGCGGCGGAGGAGGAGGCGTCTACGCCCGAGACGTAGTGGTACGAGCCAATGTCGCGTGCGCGTGCGCTGGAGCCGGTGGATTTGATGACGTGCACGAGATCCGGGGGGCCGAGCTCGCGGAAGGAGGCGAGCGTCTCTGTGCGCGAGAGGAGCGACTCGCCGAGCTCCACCTCGAAGAATTCGGGCTGCGACTGGAACGCGTCGCCCATGGTGTGCGCACAACGACAGAAAAGGAAGGTGGTGGTGGTGGTGTAGGAGGTGGAGGATGTGTGGGTGACTTTTGGAAGCAAGTATCGCAGGTTTCACTCGACTTGGCCTGGCCAGTGCTGCTTGGTCTGACCGCGTTGCTCTCTCTCTCTCCAAAGCCTCGGCGTTGTCCACTCGCTCTCTTCTGCCAGCACACCTCGGAAATTCGTCCACTATGTTAGACCGTTTTCAATCAATCACGTGATCGGCTTCGCCGCTTCTTCCACTTTTCCGAGTCGCTGCCAAAATGCAAAAGGCGCAGGTACCTTCATTCTTCCTTCCCACCGCATCTCGCCCACGCATCCCTCCTCACCCGGCATCATGACTTGGAACCTCGTCACCTCTCTGCTGCGCAGTGCAGTAGCCGGCCCCTCGCGGCTGCCCACCTCCGTGCGTGCATTTTCCACCTCCTCGCCTCTCTCGGTGACGCTGCAACAGAACCTGCGCGGCGCACGAAAGCCGCACCGTCCCACGGTCAACAAGGTGCCCGCGCTCGAAAGCAAGCCGTTCGTAAAGGGCGTGTGCAGCAAGATCTTCACCACCAAACCCAAGAAGCCCAACTCGGCCATCCGCAAGGTCGCGCGTGTCAAGCTCTCCAACGGCCGCTCCGTCGCTGCCTACATCCCCGGCGAGGGTCACAACTTGCAGGAACACTCGGTCGTCCTTGTGCGTGGTGGAAGGGTCCAGGATTGCCCCGGTATTCGCTACCATCTCGTCCGCGGCGCTCAGGATCTTGCCGGTGTCGCCGGAAGAATGACCTCCAGGTCCAAATACGGCGCCAAGAAACCCAAGGCTGCGGCCTAGATGCGGCCATCTTTCACTGTTTCGTTATTCATTGTACTAGTAGCAACTCGATTCAATCCTCTCCATCTTGATTCGCCAGCATTGCGGCATCGACTGAAGCACAATCATCGCACGCCCTCAGAGCACGAACAAGAGGCGTCGCATGCGGCTCAATGGCGCTGCACCCCCACCAGCCCAGCCTGCCCTTGTCCAAAACTGCATTCCCATTGTCGCTCATCGTCGTAGGTACGCGCTCCCATCGTCTCTGCTCACACACGCCGTGCACTCTTCTCCTCTCAAATGAAATCAGATTCGGCATCGCAGCTCTTCGACACGGCCTAGCGTAGCGTTGGATCCTGTGTTGGGATTCCGCCTCTGAACTCTGCGCTGGGGATTGCGCCCGTGGTTCAGCGCCGATGATCCACGCTGCCGGCATTGCGCAGCCTCGCCTCGCGCTCGGCATCCGCACGCACGATGCGCTCGATCTCGTACGCGATGCAGCGCACCCACACGTCGCGCTCCATGCGGCTGCGTGCGCGCATGGCGACGTACTTGTGCGTCTTGTCCTCCAACGCCGGCGTGCCCGCCTCCTCCCTCTCCGCACTACCCTTACCGCCACTCGCCACGCCCGGGTCCGCAGGCGTATTCACGCGCTCCGGTCGATACCGAATCACAAACGTGCAGTCCTCGTCGTCGTCGACCGAAAACAATCCGTCCGCATACACCCGCGGCACCCGATGCCGCTTGCCGCTGTTCGATCCACCCCCTCCCAGCCCGGACACCGCCTGCGCAGGCTCCGATCGGCCGTTCTTGAGCATGTCCTCGCTAAGCTTGCCACTGTATACGTACGCATCGCGCAGATGGATCACCATGTCTTGCCGTCGGTGGAAGATGCCGTTGTTCTGCCGTGCCCGCGACGTACGCACCGACCGCACCAGCTTGAAGCACAGCAACCGCCCCGCGATCAGCACATAGTCGCGCGCCTTGAACGCTCCGTAGCTGCTCTTCTTGTGGAACAACCGCCCCGACCGCACAATGTTGCGACACGCCTCGATCGCACACCAATTCCAAATGCTCCCCAGGATCGGAGACAGCTTCTGCTCGTCCACGCCCTCGTACCGTTTCGCCTTTTCGCCCTGCAACTCCTTGCGCAGCTCGCCCACATCCACCCCGCTCGCGTACATCAGCTCGATCGCATCCACCCGCTCCCGCCGACGCCAGTACTTGACCAGCTCCGCCACCCGCTCCACCCACTCGCGCGCCACCGAAGCACTGAACGCCTCCAGGCGGATCCTCTTGCCGTTGGTCAGCGTGATCTCAATCTGCCGCGCCCGCCGCAGCTCGTTCGCATCGTCGACGCGCTCTAACCCTTCCTGCCCGCCAATATCGCCGGCATGTTCGTCGTCCGAGTCATCCTCCGACTCTTCGTCGTCGTGCTGAGCCGCAGCCACATCCTCCTGCATCGACTTGGCCGCCATCCGCTTCGGACGCCGCAGATCCTCTTCGCCTGGACACCGCACCGGTCCCTTGCCGATGGTCTTGATCGTGTGGATGAGCTTCAGATCGATGAATCCGTCCGAGCCGCGGATCTGCTCAAACTGCCGGCGCCGCTCAAACGACTCGTACGCCGCGATCTGCGCCTGCAGCTCCTCCTCCGTCTCGGCAGCGTAGCTGATCGCCTCCAGCACGTTCTGGCGCAGCGTCGCCACATCCTCGTCGCGTCGCGCCGCCTTGTGCGTTCCAAACACCTTGGCGAGCGCCTTCGCCAGCGCACCTCGGTTGGACGCCACAATCGGCTTGCCGCCGCGGCCCTGCGTTGCACCGCTCGTCTTGGGCACGCGCATGTCCATCGCCTCTTGCAGCTTCGCTGCCAGGTGGCGATCCGGTGGGAACGCACGCGCCGTCCGGCACACGTACAGATGTCCGTCGTACGTGGTAAAGTAGAGCCGCGTCAGTGCACCCGACACCGGCTTGACGCGCCACAGGAAGCCTTCGACTGCCGGAGGCTCGTGCAGGAACTGACCGGGTGCCGTCTCTACCGTAGTCGGATAGTGCGCTGCCGTCCTCAGCTCGAGGATCGACGGGTGCTTGTAGTCCCTCAGCAGCGCGCCGCACAGCACCGCCCAGTGGCGCGGCTCGTTGTCCACGGTGCGCTCGTTCACGATCCAGTCCAGCTCGTTGCCGCGTCGCCACGCCAGATCGAGTCGCACCCCGCGAGCCTGCGATGCGACCATGAGATCGTGCCACTGCGGAATGCTCGAAAGCAGCTTCCACGTCATCGAAACGATATTGTCTCGATTGATCAGCTTGAAGCCTTCGCCGCCGTCGTGCGTGTCGCCGATGGAGCTGAGTGCCAGCACGCCGCCCTTGGCTGCGCCACTCTGACTGCCTGGCGTACCCGCGGGCGTCGTCCGTTCCACAGGCATGCTCTCCGGCACGGGCATCTTGATCTTGAGCCCAAACGACGGCACATGCACCTCGAGCGACTCGGGAATATGCCCGCCCAGCTCGCGCCACAGCTCCCACATCCAGTCTGCCGCCGCCGAGCGCGCGCGGCAGTCGAAGAGCACAATGTCAGTACCCTGTCGACGAAGATGGATGCCCTTGCGTCCGTGGTGCGCCGACATGGACTTCCACGGCTGATACGTCAGGCAAAAGATGCGATCGATCGGCGAATACAGCGACAGAAACGTCGAGCCGCGCGAGAGCGGAATAGTGGTGCGCAGCTTGAGCCGATCGCCGTGTCCGACGATCCTGCTCGTGAGCGAGGGATCCGTCCAGAGCTCGAGCTTGCCCATGCGGAATACCACGATGAATTCGCGCCAGTCTTCGTCGCGGATGGGATACTTGCGCGCCTGCAGCTCGTCAAAGTCAGTGGGCAGGTCCTCGTGCGGCGTCCATGCGAGCTTGACCAGCATGCGGTCCTTCTTGAGCACGCTTCTGCGCGTGATAATGACCGACTCGCTTCCCGGAGATTCGCTCAAGGTGTCGGATCCATCGGCAAGCTTGGGAAGCTGCATGGTGTCCGGCTGAGGGCGAGCAAGCACCTCTTCAGGCGGTCGAGGCTGAGCGTCTCCAGGCGCGGTGGCGACTCGGGCAGACAGCGGAGTCGACTCGGTCTCGGCCCTACCCGCGAACAGCGACGCGGTGAAGCGGCCCTTGAGCGCCGGGCGAGACGAGCCTGTATCAAACTTGACCGTCTTTTTGCGCTCGACGCCGCTCGACTCGCCTACTCCGGCGGTGAGAGGCTGTTTGCCGGTCGGCTCTGTGCGCCGGATGCTACCTTCGCTGTTCGGGGTGGCGTCCACAGGGAACGGATCTTGCTCGGTCAAGCGTACGGCACTCGGGTCTGCGAGCTCTTCGCCCGGAGTGAGCTGTTGCGGCGTGAGCGTCTGTCGGAGCACGACGGCATGGTCGCTAGCCGCATCAGGCACGAGGTCGGGTCGCTCACCAAGGTCGCTCTTGCGGCGCAGGAGTTGATGGACGAGCTGCGGATCGTTCTTTTCGAGCGAGGCAGGGGGAGCTGGATGCGACAACGCCTCCTTCCTCGTCATGGCCGGCGAAGCTTCGGTGGCGAGACTCGAGGTGCGAGGTGCATAGCTGCTGTTGTAAGTGGAAGCATTGTTCAACGATACGTAGGCCGACTTGGAAGCAGCTGACGACGAGTCGGTATCGGCGAGGCTCGAGGACCTCGCGACGATCTTGACGTTGGGGTCACTGATCTTCTCGGCGGATGAACTGTGTGCGCTAGCCGTGGAACGAGACGACTGCTGCTCCTTCTCCTTTTGCTTTGCCTTTTTGGATTCGGACGAGGCCTGTCCGCGTTCCGCGGCGCGTGTCTTGAGGCCCGTGCCGAGTTCTTCGGTGAGCGAGGACATCTTGGACACGATCTCGCTCCAGCCCTGGCGCGCCTCGATGGCAAGCGGAGCTGCAGCATCGGGATGAAGCGACTGGATGGAGGCGAGCGACTCGTCCTTGGAGAGCTTGCGGCGCGGAGTCTTTGTGCCGGCCGTTGGCTTGCTTTCAGATTCAGAAGGCTGTCTCGTACGCTGTGACGGTGGCGTAGCCCTGCCTTGTGGGTGATTGTCGGGTACAGCTGAAGCCTTGTCATCCGAGATGTCCTGTGCTTCTTGCGCGAGCAGGGTGATGACTCCGTCGGGGCTCTGCTTGAGATGGTCCACCTTGGCAGCGTGTTCCTCGACCTTCTTGCGCTGCTGCGCTGCCTGTGGCGACTCGGTCTCGGCCGCCACTGCGTCATTGGCGCCGTCCTTGCTGCACGAGCACGGCTGGGCCCTCTGCAGGTCGTCACGGCGCGCCTCGAGGATGTCCCAGAAGCGTTTTCCGATCTGGAAGCTGGCGCCGACCCACTTTGTGCCACCTGCACTGGTGCCGACTGCGCCTGGTAGCACGCCGATTGCAGGTGTCGAGGCGCTCAAGTCGCCGACAGAGGCCTCCGTGCCGCTGACGGAGGCCTGACGATTGTAGTCGCGGTGCATCGATGCATAGCTGGTTGCTCTCGCCGGTTTGCGCGCACGCACGGCAAAGGGCGAGACCCGCTTGCGCGTCCGCACGGGCGAAGGCGAATCAGCGTCGCGCGTGTCGCGCACCGAGTTGGTGCGAACCGGCCCAAGCTTGCGACGCAGACTACCGCGCTTCGAGACTCGGCGGAAGCTTCCGCCGGCGAAGAACTTGCGGGCGAGGGTGGAGTTGTTGCCGGCGGTGGCGCCGAAGCTGCCTTCGGTGGCGACGGTTCCGACGGTGTTGAAAGTGCCCGCGGTGGAAGCTCTGCTGATGCGGGTTTGGCGAGAGTATTCGCGGGGATGATCGACGGCGCGAGGGAGATGCGAGCCGGTAGCCTGGCGAGGTGGATGGGCTGTGCTGGGTTCGCGGCTGAAGGTGAGGGAGCGCTTGGTGGGTAGGCCTCTGCCGATGCCTGGCAGCAGTTTGTCGGGGCGCTGCTGCGCATCGGTGTCTTGGTCGTCGTGGGATGAGAAAGACAAGGCGGTGGCTGCTTCGATATGACCACCAGCTTGGCGGTGGGGCGCGAGGTTGGATTGCTCCCAGGTCGGATGGAGGAGATCGTCTGGTTGGAGCTTTGCTGGCGTGTGAGCAGGGTCCGATGCCGGATGAGCCTCGGAGCCGCTGGAGAAAGAGGGCTGGTTTCGCAGCGCACTGGCGGCAGGAGGGTTGGCGATCTCGTCGCTCTTGCGGATGATGGTGGTGTCGTTGCTGGTGTTGAAAGCGCGTCGCTCCGAGTCATATGTTGTGAACTGCGGGGACGATACCGAGTCCTCGGGGCGCGAAGAGGGTGGATCGAAGCTGGCTTGTGTCGGAAGCTGCGGGGAGATGGCCTCTTCGATCTGGTCCAGGGGCAGGTCGAGGATGGGCAGGGCGAGGGGAGGGTTGTTGGGTGATGGTGCGATGGTGGATGCGGTTGATCTGGAACCTTCCGAGCCTATCCTGCGCTGCTGGCGAAGCGCTGCGACACGCAAATTTTCAGCGCTGCGGACGTTTTGCATGTGTCTGGTGGTGGACTCGTCTGTGGAGCTGCTGTTGAGGCCAGGATTGGACGGCTTGAGGATGGAAGCGGGTGGTGGGAGCGAGGAGTTGCCGAAGCTGGGGAAGGACTGGTTGCTCTTGCGTGTGAGCAGTCCGAGCCTTCTCCTGGACGGGCTGACGGGCCGAGATGAAGATGCAGGAGCATCGTGCGAGGCATACACCTGGCCATCCGAGGCGGAGAGGGGACGCCGCGCCGCGGCTTCCGAGTCGCTGAGTGCGGAGCGCGGGAGCGACTTTGCGCTGACGAACGAGGCGTTGGAGAGGACGGAAGCGGACGAAGGATCCCTGGCAACGACGCGTGGTCGGGTGGATGACAGGGGTGCGAGCGACTTGTTGCGGGACGAGGGCGAGGTGGGCGGCGATGGGGCTGTGGTATGTTGTTGCGCTCGCTGGTCGCTGTGTTGTGAGGCTTGAGTGGAAGCTTGGAAGGGATCGCTGAATGTATGCGAGTGTTGAGCAGGTTGTGGATGGGGAGCGTTGGCAAAGTCGGTGGCCGAGACGTGGTTTGGTTCGGGCTGCTCGTGGTCGACATCGGGCGCGTGGTACGAGGTGTCCTCGACGATGGCCCTTGCGATGGCCCTGGCTGCTGATGCGGGTACCGGTAGAGGCCCTATGTAGTGGCGTACGGTAGCATGGCAGGCCGGGGTGACGAGGGAGGAAGCGTCTGCCGGGTGATTGGCGGGTACGCTAGCGGAAGAGTGAGGGCGATGTTGGAGGATGGGCTGGCACTTTGTGCAGCGTTGCTTTGGCGGAGGGAACTGGACGGTGGATGCTGCGGTGGTGGCAGTATTGTTGGGCGTCTGTTGTGGTGGCTCAAAGGCGTGGACCAGATTTGGCCTCTGTGGTTGCGAAGAAGCCATTGCAGCGCAGTGGCAGCGTGGACGCTGGAGGGTTAGACGGTAGTGCAATCTCGACAAGACGAGCGCATCTTGTACTCCTAGGTAGGTGATGGTGGTGGTGGGGGTTTAGGAAGGACCAACACATGCAATTTGGCGGCTGGTTACTCTCTGCTGTTTGGTTTGGCCTAAACTGACGGGCCAAACAGCGCCTCTCTCTCTGAGCACAGCACAGCACAGATCGACAGGGGCTGCCCGGCTGCTGCAGTCGACCGCATCTGACCTGCATTTCGCATTTTATAATTGCATTTTCCTCCACTTGGCCGGTGCCTGTGGCGCTCAAACCAACACCATTCGCCAAAATCACAAGATCATAAATACGACGGAATCTATTCCTTTCCTTTATCCTGTGGGGTCCAATCGACATCCTCTCTAGACAGTGTCCTCTTCTACACAGTGTCCTGCTTGCGACTCTGAAGCCTGTATAGCTGCTTCTTGACGAGCTGCAGCACAGTCTCGATGCCCAGCAGCACGCCTTGATCGGGTCCCTGGCCAGGCACTAATGTCGCATGGGCAAAGTCGATCAGCCTTACCTCGGCCTTAGGCTGGGCTTGCTCCACATCGCCCTCGCTGACGAGCAGCAACGATGCTCCGCGCATGCGCACCTCGAGCTCGCCAAAGATGGTGCGCAGCTCCTCAAGGTGTCGGAGCACGTCTCGGCGCAGCAGCTGCTCCACGATTTCGGCGGGAAGCTGCGGAAGACGCGAGCCGAGACTCGTTCCTGCCAAAACCGAGTCGGCGCTCTGGGCATCACCCGGCTCCGGGCACGCTAAGAGCATACGCATGCCCAGCTCGAGGTGTTGGGCACCGATGGTCTTGCCAAACGTCTTGGGCACGCGGTGGAACTCGCGTGTCTCGGGATCATACGTCTGCCACCCTGTCAGTCGCACGCCATGCGACCCACTCGTGGTGCTCGCGGCCGCCTTGTCCATCCTCGCGCGCTTCTCGTCGCTCGCGTCTTCGTCCCACAGCTGCGTGCCCAGCTTCAGGTCGCATACATTCGGCCGCGTGTAGCCGAACGTGAGGTTCTCCAGCACGATCCGTGGCTCCGAGTCGGCCGTTGTTGCGGTGGAGCCGGTGTAGTCCTGCCAGCTTCCATGGCATTGAGGCATGAACTGCAACAGTCGAGCCAGCAGCTCGGTCTGGCGTGTCTGCGAGCTCTGCACCGCTTGTTGCACCTGCTGGTAAAAGATCAGTTCGCGTGGCAGGCACGCCTTGACAACGAGCCGACCGCCTTCTAGGCTTTGGACGCCGTCGGGATGACCAGCCACCTGGTGCGAGAGAGGTTCGAGTGAAGACATCGTCAGGGAAGGTGGGCGAGAGCGGCCAAGATTGACACGTGTGTGCGGTGTGTGTTGAACCTGGTTGCTCCTCTTCCAGGCCCGCGCGAATCGCTTCCCGCGCCGAATCGCCGAATCGGCGTTTCGACCTCCACTCTCTGCGCGCTCAGACCTCGGAATTCGGGCGCGCTCAGAAGCTCCACCTCATCCGTTGCTGTGCATATTATCCTCCCACCGACACAACAACCACATCAACAACATGGCCGTCATACAAGAGGCATACATCTCGGAAGAAATCCACGAGCTCAAGGCCCAGGCCAACCGTAGCTTCGCTGCCAAGGATTACGATGCGGCGCTCAGCGGCTACCTCGATATTCTAGCACTGCTGCCACCACGCCCGCAGCCAAAGCAAGGTTCTTCACCACACGACCAAGATGATGGCGAGACAGAAGCGGACGAAGCACCAGTAGGCGAGTTAACGGCCGAGATCGGGACGCAAGAGTCGCAGGAGTCGGAGGAGTCGGAAGAACCAGAAGAATCAGAAGAGATGCAGCAGATCCGGCAATTCCGATCGGTGATCTACGCCAACATCGCTGCTACGCACCTGCGACTCTCGCAGCCGCGCGATGCGGTCAAAGCCGCCACCGAGTCGCTGCTCGACCAACCGCGCTACGTCAAGGCCCTCTACCGCCGCGCACAGGCAAACGAAGAGATCGGCACATGGTCCGGTCTCTCGGCCGCCCTCGAGGATCATCAAACCCTCCTCTCCTGCCCAGACCTCCCCAGCGCTACAAGACCAGACGTGCAAGCCGCAATCGCAAGGCTGGAACCCAAAGCAAAACAAGCGGCAGAGAAGGAAAAGGACGAAATGATCTCAAAGCTCAAGGGCCTAGGCGACTCCATCCTCGGCAACTTTGGTCTCAGCACAAACAACTTCAAGTTCACACAGCAGCCAGGAGGCGGCTACTCGATGAACTTTGTTCGCTGAATCTCTTTCCCCCAAGCACACTCCATTTGTACTTGTATCGTCGTCATTCGCAGAATCATTCGCTCACCACAGATATCGCAATGTGTCATCGTGTATTTGAGGGCTTAGCATGGGATTGGTCGGCACGTCACTTGTTCATGAGCGCCTTCATCCGTTCCTCTGCAGCGCGTGCGCGTTTCTCCCGCTCGATGCGCGCACGCATCTCGGGCGTCAGTCCCTGCTGCTCGTCCCTCTGCTGCAGCAGTGCCCTCGGCGCCGCTCCCTTGCCGCCCAGCCGATTCGTCGTCTGATGCGACGTCGCTGGCGTCTCCGCAATGGGCTCCTCAGCTGGCGGCTCCGGTGCGGCGGCTGCCTTGTCGGCCGCCTTGCTCGCCCTCTCGCGCGCCTTTTCGCGCATCGCCGCACGACGATCCTTCTGCTTGGCCGTTTGGTGCTCCTGCATCTCGTCGGTCAGCGCACTCGGCACGCGCGCTCCGCCCGCACCCATGCCCGCCCAGTCGTGCCAATCGGCGTGCTCCGCCATCATGCGCCGGAAGACGTTGCGCACCTCCTTGGTGCTGCACAAATCGTATGCCGCGCGGTGCGCCATCTCCTCCCCTCCCACCGCGGGTGTGCTACCGTCGGCTGCGAAACGTCCACGAAGCTCACCTAGCCGCTCGGGAGCGATGGTGGGATTGGCTCGCTGGTCTTCCAGCAAAATCCGCGTCACGCCCTCGCTTCCAGCCTCGGCAGCGAGCTGCAGCAGCGTCGACGGAATCAGCCGAGAAGCAGGCGCCGAGGTTCCGGCGTCGTTCACCTGCTGCTCCATCAGCCAGTCCGGCAGCTTGGCATCAATGTTCCCCGCCAACATCTCGTCGGCGTTCTTGCTGAGGAAAGTGAGGAGTGCCTCGGTGCGGTTCTTGCGCACCATCTCTACGAGCCGCGTCCACCGGTTGCGTTCCGCCTGTTCTTCCTCCGTAAGCCGCACCGGCTTCTTCTCAGCTCGGCTCTTCTCCTGAGCGATCGCACGCTCCTGCGCCTTCTCCTCGCGCCGCCTTGCGTCGGCCTCCTTGCGCGAGCGCTGCTGGATGGCCTCGAGTGCTTCCTGCTCCTCGGTCGCGAGCTCCTCGTCGCTCTTGTATTCAACCTTGACCTTGGCCAGCTCGAGGAAGCAGCGCACCGTCTCGCCGATCGTCGGACGGCGTGTGGGGAACGGCAGCGAGCCTAGCCGGCCGTCGTTGCGCGCAGCCTCGAGCGGGCTTCCCCTGCTCGCCTTGGCTCCTTCCCACGACCACAGCAGTCCCCTCGCCGCGCGCGCTCCTGCGCGGATCCAGATCTTGTCGCTGCGTCCGATGAGCTCGCGCCAGCCCGGCGAATCGAGCAGTCCGCGCACGTCGTCGCCGAGCGCAGCCTCGTTGTAACGACGCAGCTGTGCACCCGCCGACTTGGCAAAGCGGCCCGTGGCGTCCTGTGCGGCTTGTCCGCCTCCCTGCTTTCGTCGCGTCGTGTATCGGTGGAAGGCCTTGTGCGCGAGCAGGATGAGCGAACGGTCTTCGCGAGGTGCGCCCGAGCCATCGCGCGGCCGGCTCTTGTAGGTGGTCACGTGCGGATTGAGTGCAATGACCGAGGCAGCAAAATGGCCGCCTCCGAGCAGCAGCACCGTCCACATGCGCAGAGGTGGGTCGGGGTTGCGGCTGATGGTGGTGGAAGTGGCGACCGTCTCGTCCGAGGAAGACTCGGCGTCGTCGGTGCCAGAGTCGGACTCGTCGTGCTCATCGCTACTGCCAGCGGCGTCGGAGTTGATGGCGGTGGAGAGACCAGAGATGAATCCCTCACCATCCAGGACAGTCATCTTTACGGATCTGGCGGCTTCCTGCACCTCCTTGGACTTGATGCGCTTGCCCTTCCACGCGGACTGCTTGGAGCCCTGGCGCGTGATGCGGCCGGTCTGCATGGATGCGATGCATGCGGCATACCATTCAGCGATCGAGTCGGGCTGGGCGAGCTTGGGCGCGGCGGAGGTCCCTGGATCCGGAAAGACGTTGCGGTGGAAGCCGAGCTGCGTCTGCGGAAGCTGCTCGGCGTCCGGAGCCGACTCCTTGGAAACGAACCAGAGCAGAGGAGCGCGCAGCTGAAGAGCCTGTAGCGTATCAGCCGCATCTTCTTCGTCCTGATCAGCCTGGTCCGCTTGTGGTGCAGACTCGTTGGCGGACTGAAGCGAGGTGCGTGCGAGGATCTTGGTGACGAGGTCGGTCTTGAGGGCTGTGGAGCGTGACTGCGGAGCGTCTTCGTCCGACTCGAGCTCGCTAGCACTCTCGACCTCTTCCGAGAGCTTTTCGAATGCCTGTTGTGAGACGAGCAGCGATCCGTTCTGCACGTTGAGCTGCACGTTGTATCTGTGCCAGTCGGAGCGGAAGTGTGCGCGCTGTGCGGTGACGGAGGGGAAGGGCGCGCAGCCGGGACAGAGCGAGCAGGGCGGCACACGGAGATGCGAAGGCTCTCGTATTTGCGCGCCTTCATCGGCACCGGATGTCTGCGAGGCTGTGGAGGCGGGTGGTGCGGTGGCGCTGGCAGAGAGGATGTGCGCTGCCTCGGCGTCTTCGATGTGCGAGCGAAGCTTGAGGGAATAGTGCAGGGCTGGAGGCAGATCGAAGGCGTAGAGTGGTCTTGAAAGCGCAGGATGCTTGGCCGGACGAGAGCCGTTGGCTGGGGCCAGCTCTTGATGCTCGCTGTGCGACATGATGGTGCGTCGCAAGTGGGTGGTGATGGGCGGAGGCAGGGTAGCGCAGCTGGTTGCCAGCCTTTGTGCCGTTTTGATCGGACGAGCTCGAATGCTTGAGCCGAGTATGTTGGGCAGCAGACCAGATGCGAGCTTGCTTATAGCTGCTGTCAATGAAGGGGTGTGAGAGACGTGAGGCAACCTTACGTGGCTAGGTGTCAAAACGATGGGATCGACTCGGCAGGCTCGACTGACTGAGCTTTGTGCTCTCTGGCTGAGCAGCAGCGCGTCATTCCACTTCCTCCAAATCGATTCGGCTCAGCCTCCAAAGGTCACACAGTGCAGCAGCAGCAGCAGCAGCGTCACGCGTGGAGGTCGGCTCGAGTCGTATCGTCCGATCTGGCCCAACCCGATTCACCCCATTTTCCGATTTGCGACCACTTGTTGGCTCGAGAGACGCGCTGCCACGAGAGAGTGCTGAATCGAGTCGCCGCTCGAATGGCCATCCGACCTTGCTCTCTTCACGCTCATTCTCACTGCAAGCATGACACTAACCAACGAGCAGGTACGTAGCGACAAAGCAGCAGTGATGAAGCGGCAGGGAAGAGCACACTTGCTGACCGACATCTCTCCCATTACCGTGGCGCCCGACAGTTCCTCGAGCAGCTCGCCAAGCTGTTTGAGCAGAGCACCTCAAAGCACTCGGTCTACATCACCTCGAAGAAGGCACCCGCCTCTGCAGCTCAGGATGACGATGTTGACATGACGCCGTCATCGTCCTCCTCCAGCTTGAAGGACGCCGTCCTCTTCCGCGCCACCGACGGTACATCGGGCAGCGGCAAGGTCAAGATCAGCACGCTCGTGCCTGCGTCCAAGCTCACCACGTTCCAGGGCGCATACCTTCCACTGCTGAGGACACACCTGTCCGCCGGCCTCAGAAAGCGCGACAAGGCCAAGGAACGCAAGATCGAAAAGGCACGAGAGCAGAGCCGCAAGAAGCTCGTCGAGACGGTCGACGGCAAGGAAAAGGTCATCACCAACAAGATCGGCAGCAAACGAGGCGCAGGACGTCGCAAGCGCCAACGCGCCCTCACCAAGGGGCTCGCACTGCGCAAGGAAAAGGCAAAGGAGGCAAAGAGAAAGCAGCAGACGGCCAAGGCAACCAGCTAGCCATTCCGTCTGGCCTAACCATCCGAGGCTGCACATCGAGCCACGCCTCTCCCGCTTGTACAGTATTTCAGCATGCAGACATGAACAGCGTGCATTACCCAGGCCACGCCGTGTGATCTGGTGAGTGTTTTCTGTGATGGACAAAGGCATGGTCACACGAGTGGGCGTTGTGAGCTCAGAGGAGGCGAAAGTCGAAAAGTGTGAGATCAGGCTCTGATGACACAGTTCAGAATTTCGCCACGCTTGGCAAGTGCGAGTGTGGAGTGCGGAAGCGCTCGAAGCGCCGTGTGCTTCCACGCCGATGTGCTGCCGGCGATCCACATGGCTCTGAACCAGCGTTCCGATTGTCGATGTCGAATGCACCCTCTCCCCCCACTTCCTCCTCTATCTACGCCTCCCATCGGTCCGCCGACATCCTATCTTGAGAGCACGCTGCACACTCCTCACTAGCCCTCGAGCTTCCATCGCATCACCCCCGGTGTCCCCACCGCCCGGCTCACCGCTACCGGCCACCTCCACATACCCTCGGACGGCGCTGACCTCGGCGAATCGATCGTCGAGTGCAACCAGAGCGGCGCAGCCTGCATGCACACTCCCACCTCCTAGTCTAGTCTCGCAGGCTGCAACGTCAAATCACTGACTGACGCACATGAGCTCGTCCCACAAGTCCGCAGTCATGGCGGCCGACGATGACGACGAATGGCAGTCCATGCCGGTTGAGTCCGCCGAGGATAAGAGGGCCTCCATACCCATCCAGGCCTACTCCAACCCATACGATTTGCCCTACGGCGACGAAGAGGAAGACGATTCGGATCCAGACGACCCGCGCAGGTTTCGCTCGCTCCCTTCTCGCTCCTCCGCACGCAACCAGCCCAACCGCACCGCCAGCGCCCAGCTTCACAAGCGTTCCAACGCAAAGTCGCAGTACCTCACCGACCCTGGCAAGTCGGCCATCAGCTCCACATCTGCGCGCTCGCACAACACCGCCACCAACGCCACGGGAAAGCACCTCGACATCGACGATGCCAGGGGCTACGATTGGCGCTCTAAACCGGCGAGCAAAGATAACGCCGACGACGACGACGACAGCGATGGCGAGAAGGGCTATACCCAGCTCCGTCTGGACGAAGACGAAGAAGCCGAACAGCTCCATGCCGCCACAGAGTATCTCTTCCAGGACGGCAGCCGGCACGATCCATACGGAGACAACACCTCCGCAACCCCCCTCAACCAGATGAAGACCACCAAGCAGCTCCTCTCCGAAGGTCAGAAGATCGCATACGTTGGTCTCTGCAGCTTGATAGCTTCTGAAATGGTCCGACAGCTCCGAAGAGTCCCGGGCAAGAACCTCGATGCGGCAAAGCAGAGCATCGAAGCCTGGAAAGTCAAGGTCGTCGCTCGCCTATACCAGCACATGGACATCGAGAGCTCAGAGCAGCGCATGATCGAATCCTTGGCAGAACACGGCGTCCTCGCTACCGACCTCGCTCCATCCCTCATCACCACCCAAACCATCGACAATCCTGACTTCGACCCAGAAGCCCTCAGGGAGCTGCAGGAGGAGCAGGAGCTCGAGGCGCAGCAACAGCGTCAAGCCGAACAACAGAAGGCGCCATCGCAATCCACTTCCGCCGATCAGTCCCCGAAGCCGCAGACAACTTCAAGCCCACCTGCCGAGCCCTCTGCTACGCCCAGTGATCAGGATGATCTCGACGAAGCCTTCGACGGCGCAGACGACGGCGACATTGGCTCTGCTCTGCAGGAGAAGCCGAGACCGAAGACCGAAGCTGTCAAAGGAGACGGATCCCAGTCCGACCAAAGCGGTCCGTCCAAAGCGCGTACCAGACGCAACGCCGCACAAGACGATGACGAAGTCGACATCGGCATGCAGCAAGATGCACCGGCTGACGCAGAAGAAGGCGCCGACATCGCCTCTACCAATGAGGCCTCATCTGCATCTGCAATCTCCCGACCGACTTCGATGGTCTCGACTACCACCGTCGTCGCCGATCCAAACACCGCCTCGCAGCTCGCGAATGCCGTCGATGCGACCGAAGCCACAGTAGCGCCGACAGATGCCGAAGTCGGGCCTGGCTCAGTCACCACCACGCTCGGCCTCACCAAAGAGCCGCAAGCCGTGCAGCCACCGCCAGGTGCGCTGAATGGTGTCACCACCAGCATCAGCAGCGCCGATGCCACCATCACCCTCGATCTGCGCTGGACCGTACTTTGCGACCTTTTCCTCGTGCTCACCGCCGACAGCGTCTACGATGCGCGCTCGCGTGTGCTGCTCGAGCGCGTCGCCTCCGAGCTCGGCCTCACCTGGATGGACGTGACGCAGTTCGAAAAGCGCATCACCGACGCGCTCGAGATCGAGGAAGGCGTCGAAAGTCTCAGCGATCCTTCGGCCGTCACCCAGCGCATGCTCATGGCTCGCAAGAAGCGCATGGTCATGATGGGCCTCGCCACCGTCGGTGGTGGCCTCGTCATCGGCCTTTCGGCCGGCCTGCTTGCTCCCGTCATCGGTGCAGGTATGGGTGCGGCGCTCGGAGCCGTCGGGATCAGTGGCACGAGCGGATTCTTGGGCGGCGTGGGCGGAGCTGCTCTCATCACATCCACCGGAACCGTGGGTGGCATGAGCCTCGCCGGCCGCGGCATGAGCCGCCGCACACGAAGCGTCAAGACGTTCGAGTTCAAGCCGATTCACAACAACAAGCGCGTCAACGCGATCATCACCGTGCCCGGCTTCATGAGCGGCCCGCTGGACGACGTGCGGCTGCCGTTCAGCGTCATCGACAGCGTCATGGGCGATCTGTTCAGTGTATTTTGGGAGCCGGACATGATGCAGGAGATGGGTAATGCTCTCGGCTTACTATGGAACGAGACCATCGTTCAGGGCGTTCAGCAGGCGCTCGCCTTGACCGTGGCCGGCGCCAGTGCCATGTTTACTGCGCTCGCCTGGCCTCTCTGGCTCACCAAGCTCGGATATCTGATCGACAATCCGTGGTCCAATGCGCTCGATCGTGCTCAAGCGGCCGGACTCATCCTCGCAGACACTCTTTCGAAACGTCAACTCGGTGTTCGTCCCATCACGCTGGTCGGGTACAGTCTGGGCGCGCGAGTCATCTTCTACGCGCTGGTGGAGCTCAGCCGGATGAAGGCGTACGGAATCGTGCAGAACGTGTACATTATGGGCGCCCCCGTGACGGCCAAGGACGAGACGTGGAAGGAGGCAAGGAGCATCGTGTCTGGCCGATTTGTCAGCGCGTTTTCGCGCACCGACTGGATCTTGGGCTATCTGCATCGTGCGGCGTCTGGCGGACTGCGCAGCATTGCAGGTCTGCATCCGGTGGAGCGCGTGCAGGACATTGAGAACGTCGATGTCACACACGTGGTGCCTGGCCATCTGGGCTATCGGCCGCTCATGCCGCTGGTTCTGAGCGAGCTCGGCTTCCGCACGACGGCCGACTACTTTGACGAGCCAGAGGATCTCAACGCGATTCCCGAACGGCAGGTGGTGCAGGAAGCAGCGGCCGAGAAGGTGGAGCTCAAGACGGTGACGACCAAGACCGGAGGATTCGGCAGGATCTTCAGGCGTAAGGATTCGAGCCAGGCGGGCAGCCAGAGCGCGACGCCTGTGCGCTCGCAGTCGGCGGCAGGATCTGCCACAGGTGCCACCGCCACAGCTGGGCACGCGGAATACGACGAGTACGACGACGACGACGACGACCTGCCGCCACGGATGGAGTCGACGCCGCCAGCAGCCGAAGCGGCGAATGCGGTGACGGAAGCCAAGCAGACGCAGGAGCAGATTGTCAAGCAGTCGATCGCGCGCGTTGAGGCGGTGCGATCGTCGCACAACGAGGCTGAGCGCGCGGTGACACCGGAGGCGGATCGTCCGAGCTCGCTGAGTGCGCACTTTGACACGGAGGCAATCCTGCGCGAGCTGCGCGAGTCTGGCATCGAAGTCAAGGAGCTCGAGAGCTCGCTGCCGCCGCTACCACTCGCGAACGCAACGCAGGCTTCCAAGGGCAGCGGATTGGCAGAGCGCGCGGACGCCGGGGCTTCGGCATCGGGGGACAGCGTGCTTGGTGGGCGGTCTGAAGCGGTGGCGGCGCCTCCGAATGGAGGTGTGTCGCTCACGTTTGCGTCGTACGATGACGATATTCAGCTAGCATCGAGCCCTGTTCAGGCCGAATCGGCAGGGCCAGACGTGACGGGCAAGTACGGCCTGTCTTGTTCGGCAGCGCAGGATCTGGAGACGCGCTTCAAGAGCGGCGGGGATGCGTCGGCGTTTTCAGGGCGCACGTCGGCAGTGGGGGAGGATGGGTGGGGGCGTGGCGAAGAGTGGGGGCTGGCGCGGCCGGATACGTCGTACGACATGTCGATGGGCACAAAGAGCGCCACGCACTCTCTTCCGACGAGCTCAAGCATGGGCTTTGGCGAAGCGCTGACGCCCGGTGAGAGGTCGTTGGATGCCTTGACGCCGCCGAGCGCGGCGGTGGGCCGAGGATTCGACTTTAGCAGCGCGTTGGGCAAGGCATCGGGGAGCAGCACGGCAGATCTGTCGGCCAAGGCGTCGCCGTCGAGCGAGCGCGCCCCGCGACGTGCGGGTGATGCGACGCTGGGAAGTGAACCCGATCCGTGGGCGGACAACCCGTGGTAGATTGAGCTGCGGCGCACACAAAGCAAGTTTGGCATTGCAACGATAGAATTGTTCCTGCACGATGCTGTGACGCGCAGGCTGTGGGACGCCATCGGGCATATGAGCGTGGCATGCTGCATGAATCTACTGCGAAGGATTCGCAAGGCACAGCCAAGGGTTTCCGAGGGGGGTTGCGATGCTGCGGCGCCAAGAAGGACGTTGGTGTTTGCCGCCAATCAGCCACGTGTGGGAAAAAACTCTCCGATGAGCGTTGCGACCAAGCTGCGGCTGTTTGAAAGCCAAGATGACCCTGTGACATGTGAGCGAAGCCGGCAGCAACGATCAGGTGTTGGCCCCGTCGAGGGAGGGAGAGAGAGGCTGGGCGAAATTCGGGCGCGCGTGCAGACTGACGACAGCGGTAAGCACGGTGACGTTGCACGTTCCAGCGCAACTGATCGGCTCGGATCGGTTGGCTTAGCGCGTACCTTGACTGCTGCCCGGCGCCAGCTCATCGAACCCTTGGCCATCGAAACCCTGGCTACTGTACAGGTACAGGCTGAATGTCCAAACACCGAAATCTCGTTTCGAACGATCACAGAGATGATGGATCTCACGCATGCTGCGGTTGATGATGGATGTCCCAAACGCACGGTGATCTTGAAAGCCTCGATCGGAAATCTCGCTGCGCAACAGCATCGGTGCGACCGGACCGGGCGACTGTTGGCCTACGCAGTTTTTTTGGAAGTTTTCCTGACGCTGTGACAGTGGAGGTTGGCGTAGATGTACGCGCGTCTGGGGGCAGAGGAGAGGGAGACGGGAGAGCCGTGCGCATCGAGCGAGAAGTTTGAACCCGAATTCAAGGCTCCGCAATTTCACACACTCACTCTCCAGCCAGGGAAAAATTCAAGCCCGAAATGCGGAAATCGTCGAGGCACACACAGATGACGATCCGGTACAGCTGAGGCCAAGCCAGCCAGCCAGCCAGCCAGCCAGCTGCTCTCGGCAAGTTTTTGGGATCTTCCTGGCGCTAAGCTCGACGACGACAAAATACCCCGAAAAAATGTGGCCCCAACGCCAACGCCTCCCCCGACCAGTGCATCACTGCTGCTGCTGGGGCTGCTATGCATCGGATGAGCCGCCGCTTGCTTCAGTGGTGCCAGCAATGAAGACCCATTGGTGGCGGAAACCGGGCTGCAAAGCAACGAGAATGAGGTGGGAGCGAGGCGGCAGTGAGGCGGCAGCGCAATCGAAATCCCATGCAGGCCGTGCGCAGACAAAAGACTGGAATTGTGCCGTGCGAACGACGGTCCGATCGATCGGTAGGCGCGTTGCTGCCACTGCAGCTCCACCTCTTTTTCTGACGCACAAACACGCGGGCGGCGCTGCTGCTGCTGCTGCTCGGTGCTGCTGCTCAGTCGTCAGCTCGCCATGACGGATCGATTGCGGCCACTCCCATCGCCTCGTGCCAATCATTCCGAGCCTCGCCCGCGCCAGCTCAGCTGCTCGCCATCCTCTTCTTAACCGTGCCCTCAACCTCGCTCACTTTTCTTCTTCTCACCATCATCCCTTCTTGTTCCCATCCCTCCCCCTCCTTCCACATACCCCATCACAATGACTTTCTCCAAGGCCGCTAGCGACGAAAAGGCCATCGCCACCATCCGTGAGTCTCTCTTCCTTTCCATCCTCGGCGCGCAGCTGGCTTGCGTTGCGGTATGCTGACTCTGGCTTGCTTACTCCTTTCGTCGCGCGCAGGATGCCTGGCTGCCGATGTCGTCGCCAAGTCCAACTCCGGTCACCCCGGTGCGCCCATGGGCATGGCTCCCATGGCCCACACCCTCTTCTCTCGGTAAGTCTCGACGACCTTTCTGCGCATGCCTTGCGAGAGCAGTTTGAGGCCTTGCTTGTATCGGACTGCGAACTGACCTGAATCC